GTTGTCGAGGAGTTTTGCTGTGGCTTGTCTAAACAACTTCGTTACCGGTTTTTCCCCATGGCCTCCAAATTTTGACATCGAACGGTCGGAGATGGCATATTCACAGCAGGTTTCTTCTTTGGTTTGACGATTTGTCGCATGTCTAATGGCCGTTCGTTTTCGCGCATGCTGTAGGCGTTGTTCGAGTTAACCACCTTGCCAAAGGAGTCTTGACTGTAAGTTAAAAGGCGCATTTCTTCGATTTTTTGATCATAAGATGTATGCATATGGAAGAATGGATGCATCTGACCCTGTGTCCTGTGTGTGCGTAGCACAATGTCAAAGTATCGTAGTTTCGAGCAGTTCCATTTAAAACGTTGCTGTCAGTATTCTATATACTGCTCTTGAACAATCCTTGATGTGTATGTTTATGAATAGTAGTTGTGATAACAGCTTTCGTGAGCATAGTCTATTTTTCGCAAGTTACTACTATTATCTTCGCCTGCCATGTCAACGTAGCAGAAACATTAGGTCGTTACCTTTTGACAGACATTTATATTCTCCCCTCCATAGAGATCTAAGTAAGATCGGCCGGATTCAGTATCATGTGTAAAAAGGGGGTATCACCCTAGGCAATAACGTGAAACTTTCCAACAGATGATCTGATTAAAAACTGGTCTATTTAACAAATGGGTTTTGAAGGTTGTCGGGAAATTTCCGTTGATAAAATGAACGTGCTAAAACCCATCTGCAAAACATATGGCAGTCTTCGAGTATGGATATGAGAAACATTCAGCTGTTATAAACCACGTCGTGGATTACTTGCACAGAATTGATTTACGTGAAGATCTTAGATCGTGACAGTACCACTACCGGTCTCGTGATACGCGCACCATTAATGCGTTTGATTCAGCTCGTGTAAACTACGAATTAAACTTCAAACAACTTGCATCGAATTGGAACCTCATCCTAAATAATTTAGTTTAATTTAGTTTCTACCATCGTTACTATGCGCGTTTATTTATTCTTTTTTCATTCATTCCTTTTCACTCCTAATGCCTATCGTTTTTTTCACATTTTCATTGATTTAGTTGTATTTCTTCGTTACAGTGCTGTAATTAATTGACCTGCTGATCCATATTACCTGGACGGCGAATTCTTCTGAGTGCATTAATAATTTTTTTTAAATAAGGAGCACCGTTGTGGGTCAAATGCTTCACTTTGCAAATGTACATTTTTCAAAGCTTCTAACCGTCCCTTCTTTATTTATTTTCCAATAGGAGCCTGTTTATATCTTTCCAAACGGAATGCGCATATTTTGAT